TCTTAAATGTCTTTTGTTCCTTTCTTCCTCTTCTATTGTCTTCAGTGTTTGCTGGTTTTTTTGAGGTGGTGAGATATAATTTCTTTCTCTTTCTCATTTGCATTTTTTCCTACCAGTGGGTTTTGTTCTTTCTTGTGTATTCATGGTAGTGATTATCTTTTTTTGGATTCCAGATGCAGGACTCCCTTGAAGATTTCTTGCAGAGCTGGTTGTGTGGTGGTGAACTCTGGCAGTTTTTGTTTGTTTGGGAAATACACTATTTTTCCCTCATTTCTGAAGGATAGCCTTGCTGGATATAGTATTGTTGGTGGGCAGTTTTTTTCTTTCAGTATTTTTAATATATTATCCCATTCTCTTCTGGTCTACAGAGTTTCAGTTGAGAAGTCAGCTGTTGGTGTGATGGAGACTCCCTTATAGGTGGCTTGACACTTTCTCTTGCTGTTTTAAAGGTTCCCTCTTTGTCTTTGCATTTTGTCATGTTGACTATAGTGTGTCTCAGAGAGGACCTTTTTGGATTGAATCTATCTGGGGGTCTTTGAACCTCCTGGATCTGAAGGTCCTTGTCTTTCCCTATACCTGGGTAGTTTTCTGTTATTACTTCATTGAATAGGTGTTCCATGCCTTTTCCTTTCTCTTCCCCTTCTGGAATACCCATGATATGTTTTTGGTTTTTCTTGTTTTTGGTTTTGGTTTTTTTTGGGGGGGGGTTAATTAGAAGCTGTTTTATTTTTAAAAGTATAAACAGCAATTAGGATCTTCCTATATACAGATATAACAGCCTGCAAGCAGTTAAGTTTAAGGTGGCTGTTGTACATAATTTTTATGGTCCTTTTCAGGTCCATGACACAGCCTTTGTGGACAGAGGGCCATCAATTGTGCATCTGATTGTCTCAACAGGGGATAAAACCTAATATATAGAAGTAACGGGGCCGGCCCAGTGGCGCACTGCGCTAAAAAAAAAAAAAAAAAAAAAAAAAAAAAAAGAAGTAACAAATCAAACAACAAATCATCTGCCATAAAAGAAATATAAAAAATTTTGAAATTTTAATTTCAACTCCAGAGAAATACCTAATATAAACAATGCTTTGCTCCCTGCTAGAACATAATGGGAAAAACTCAACCTTTTAGAGCACAGAAAGATTTTAAAACTGTGCTTTTAAGTCCAAGAAATGGAGCCAGCCCATAGATCCATTTTTTTGTGTGTGTGTCTTTTGTCTTTTTCCGTGTCCAGCAACGGATCGCAACCCTCAGTGTTGCCCCCATACCGGACCGGGGACCGGTAACGGGATTGCAACCCTCGGCGTTGCCCCCGCGCCTCGCTCAGCCAGTGAGCGGGAACCGGTCTGTATGTGGGATCCGAACCCTCGGGCGGGAGCGCCACCACACTTCCCAAGCGGCGCACTTATCCAGTGCGCCACCGGGCCGGCCCCCCATAGATCCATATTAAAATTCCCTCAGGAAAAGCTGAGAACCACATCCTGAGATCATCTGCAACATGATCTTGTTATCTGGTATTTATAACACGATGCCAACTCTACCATTGCTTCATTTAGAAGTCCTGTTAAGAAAAAGGTAGAAAAAGGCACTACTTTCCAGTTTTAAGTCAATGTTAAAATTAGCTTTTCCTTCTTTTTCCTCTTCCTCTTGTTCTCTTCCAAGTGGCTAGTAGCATCAGCAAAAACATAACTTCACTTTTTGCCTCACATTCCCTCTTGAGATAGTCAATTTGCCATATAGAAGCCAATAACATCCCAGACTTGGCTGACTTTTGAAATAGTTGTTTCTTTTAATTTTTCTATCACTGGCACAAGCATTTGGTTGCTAGTGATCTGTCCAAAGTGAATCCTGAGGAGAAAGAAGAGGCACCTACATAGAAGTTCAACATCAGAGCCCAGCTGGATGAATCCATTAAACAGCTTGAGAATGTCTGGGACATAAGAAAAAGGCAGCACAAGTAGAGATTCTTCCAGCTCACTTGACTTGATCCCTTTAAAAATTTCTAATACGTAAGATGAAGGTGAGATATTGCCATACGCCATCAGGATGGGGTTGGTGGGAAGAGGAACCTCTTTCCCTGCAGCTTTACAAATGGCTTTGTGTTCTTTCAATTTTGCAGTTTCTTCTCGGTATAGCCCAATAGCCTCCATGATGCTCTCAGCTGCTTTGACTGTTTCAATAGTTTTCTTTCCAGTAAAGTAGCTGTCACCTTGAGTCTCCCCTGGAACTGCTGGTTGATCTTCTTTGTCCACACTCTCCTCATATTCTGCTTACCTTTGCATCTCCCTTTCTTCCTCAAGAATAAGAGTCTCCCTTGTTCTCTCTCAAAGTCTCATAGATTTGTCATGGGATCATGATACAACATAGTCTCCATTGGGACTTATGGCCAAACACCATATTTCCTGGTGGTTCCCCTCCCATGATTTGAATGTTTGTCACTTAAGGTTTTCTGCTAGCTCTCTTAGATTTTCTTCATTTTTTTAAAATTCTTTTTTCCTTCTTTTTGTCTGCCTGGGTTATTTCAAAAAGACTATCTTCAAGATCAGAAATTCTTTCTTCTGCTTGTTCTAGCCTGCTGCTTAAGCTATTGGTTGTGTTTTTTATTTTTTTGAGTGAATCTTTCAGTTCCATGAGTTCTGTTATGTTCTTTTTTAAGATGTTAATCTCTTTGTAAATTTCCTCCTTCATATATTGGATTTTTTTTTTTTCTCATTTCATTATGTTGTCTGAGTCTTCTCATATCTCAGTGAGTTTCCTTCAGATTGTTGCTCAGAATTCCTTTTTGGTCATTTCAAGTATTTCTTGCTCTATGGGTCTGGTACTTGAGAATTATTGTATTCCTTTGGTGGAGTCATATTTTATTGTTTTTTTCATATTTCTAGTACCTCTACATTGATGTCTGGTCATCTGGTAGAGAAGGTTGATTCTATTACTTAAGAGTGGGCTTTGACGAGAGAGACTTCCTCCTGTAGATGTGTTTTATATTGACCATTGAGTAGGGTGTTTTAGTGTTGGTTCCAGGTAGACGTGGTAGTGTATTCTCCATGTGGGTATTTCAGCTGTATTCATTGTTGAAGTTGTGTGTGAGTGCTTCCATGGTGTAAGCACTAAGGCACTTAGTGATTCCTTGCTGACATTAGTGACGCTATGCTGTTTTGTCGAGGACACAGGTGAGTGAGCTCAAGTTCTTGGGAGAAGTTCCTGGGTGTCCTGTCACTTTTTGACTGGGGTAGGTGACCCTGGGTGGGCTTGTTGGCGTCTCAGCTAGTGTCCCATGACCCTGATGAGTGCGCTAGGGTGTACTGGAGCCCCTCAATTTGAATGGGTGACCCTGGGCAGGATTTCTCTTAACTCTTTCCCACAGGTAGAGGCTCCTCGTGGGTCTCTGCTTCCTTCAGTTGGGAGATGGGTTGGTGGTAATTGGGAATTTTCTTCCTTCCTCTATTTGGGTATCCTGGTTTCTGCACTCTTGAGGGGTTCTGCATGTGTGTCTCCCTGGATCGAGGCAGTCACATGGCCTGTGCATGTACCTCCCACCTCCAGGTGTGCTACCGCATGTGGCAGCATAATTCCCTCTGTGGGTTTGGCCTTTGGGTCACGGGTCTGTACTCCCTCACCTCTTTCCCTTGGCTCCACTGGTGACTTTCCTGGTGTCAGTGTGGTCAATGAGTTGGTGGGCTGCTGCTGTGGCAGCGAGCCACCCTTGCAGTAGAAGTGGCTGTGATGGTGGCTGTGATGGGCCACACATACCGCAGCAGTGTCTGTGGCAGCAGCAGGGACTGCCTACAACTGCTGACATCTTCAGGCATGCTTCCTGCCATCTGCTGGTCTGGCAGGGGGCTCAAAAGGTGGCTTTTGAAAATGTCAGTAAAACTGTTAAACCTCATCCAGGGCGTGGCCACCACAGCTGCCTCTTTCTCGTCAGCCCAATAATTTGCTTTTTTTTTTTTTTTTTTTTACTGACCGGTAACATAATTGCAACCCTCGGTGTTGTGCCCGCACCGCGCTCAGCCAGTGAGTGGGAACCGGTCTCCACATGGGATCCTAACCCACGGCGGGAGCGCCGCCGCGCTCCCAAGCGGCACACTCTCCAGTGTGCCACTGGGCCGGCCCAATAATTTGCTTTTAAATGTGTTTCATGTCAAGAGCACAGCATAATAGTTGGATTTTGTTGTTGTTGTTGTTTGTTTTTTTGTCTTTTTCCGTGTCCGGCAACGGATCGCAACCCTCAGTGTCGCCCCCGTACCGGACCGGGACCGGCAACAGGATCGCAACCCTCGGTGTTGCTCCCGCGCCTCGCTCAGCCAGTGAGCGGGAACCAGTCTGTATGTGGGATCCGAACCCTCGGTGGGAGCGCCACCGCACTTCCCAAGTGGCGCACTATAGCAGTGCGCCACCGGGCCGGCCCTGGATTTTGGTTTTGAATGAAATGGCTACTTCAACTCCATTCCGAAATTATAATTGGTTTGTGAGGTATTTTTTTTCCTTTAAATGACTCTAGACTTTTTTATTTTGAAGGTAACAGATGTTGGTTGTAAAAAAGCAAAAAGTTATAATTCAGGTATAGAACTTGAAATTTTCTCCCCACTCCATCTCTATAACCATAATTCCAGTCCCCAGAAGTATTTTGTTATATATACTGCCAGAATCACTTCCATGCATATATAAACATATATAAGAGTACTTCAAAAACTTTGTGGAAATTAGAATTAAAAGATAATACAAATCTTTCCATGAACTTTTTGAAGTACCCTCATATGTGCACAAGTGTAATATACACATATAACATTTTATGAAATTATGTTATATATATTGTTTACCTTATTTTTATCTCTTAATAGAGCTATCTTATTCTTTTCGTATGCTACATTTTGTTTCATCATATTGATATACCTTAGTATTTTAGCCAGTCTCTTATAAATCACACTATTAACATTTTTAAATTATTTCAAGCAAATCACAGTCCTGCAAATATTTCTGCATTGGGGGATTGCAAGTGGAGTATGTGGAAGGTAGGAACATAAGAATAGCTATTCTACTTTTTTCATTTTCTCCCTCTTTACTTGGCTTCTAATTCAGGGTTAGGGGTTGTATAGAAGAAATATGAATGGGAATTCTGCCCAGGGAATTATCCCTTTTGAGAAAAATGTGAAATTTGGTAGGAGTTTACATCTGTGAAAATTAATTCTTAGAGTGGACTAAAAGTTCTCATATGTATTCATCTTTTGGTTTTCAGATAGGTGCTTCTCTTTTTGCCACAAATATTGGCAGTGGCCACCTTATCGGCCTGGCTGGGATAGGAGCATCTTCAGGTATTGCTATTGGGGCCTTCGAGTGGAATGTAAGTAATACCTTTTGCAGCAACTAATCTCCTCAGCTGCTGCATATCGCAGGGTGGGTATCAGAGGGTGCGTGAAAGATTTACAAATATCAAAACTTACACATATCAAGACTTACTTTATCATTGTCCAAATAAAACTCATAAACATAAAAACTTGCTTTCTTCCTTGAGCAAATATTAGAAACTTCTTGATAAGTCATGGAGGAAAGGAACCAGGTCTTTGATTTTCCAAAAGGATTGTGCTAGTTTTCATGGTTCTTAGTGAATTAATGAAGAGACAGAGAATGTTTATGTTCCAAGGATCACAGGAATACAGTGAACAAAGAACTGTTAGGAGACTAGTCAGGGAAAAAAATTATATTAACATTTAATTATATATATACTATATATACTGTGTGTATATATAGAAATTCAGATATGTGTACATATATATCTGTATTGTGTATGTTCTGTCTTGCAGTACATATTGAGAATGGGTTCAACTGAGCTCTTTGAGATATTTGGCTAGTTACTACAATCTCCTAATTAATCTCCCAAGATACTGGATTATTTATTTAAGCCATGGAATATATTTGTTGTGGGAAATAGAATTTGTTCACCTAAATTATAAATGAATTTATTAGTCTTGGGTTATTAACCTATCTCTATATAAATCATTTGGCTTTTTTTTTGATAAACCAGAAAGCTTCATACTTTCTGAGTCTCATCTTTTTTCTTAAAGACTACAAAAGATAAAGAATACTTCTATAAGCCCAAACATAATAAGAAGTGCTGTTTTGGGGGGGATTGGGGTGTGTGTGTGTGTGCGTGTGCATGTGTGTGTGTGTGCGTGTGCGTGTGTGTGTGCGCGTGTGCGTGTGTGTGTCACAGCTGACTGGTAGAAGGATCAAACCCTGGACCTTGGTGTTGTCAGCACTGTGCTCTAACCAACTGAGCTAACCTGCCATCCCCAGAAGCCCTGTTCTTTACCACTATTTACCTCTCAGGATTTTCAGGCATCTTCTTTATATATTCAACGCACCTTACCTCTTTGTAAAGAAAGCCAAAGCCAAATTTAAGACTTAATTTCACTTGTATGAAATTTTAATAAAGTTTCTCTCCCTTTTCACTGAATGGTTTCTGATTTTTCTATTCCTTTTTTTAACTGTCTTTTAAATTTAATTATAAACCACCTTTATTTGTATCTAGAAGTAGGCAAACAATAAATTAAAAATAATTACCTTGAAAATTGGTTCAATTAACCTCCCATTATTAAGAATGCACCCTTTTATAAGCAAAGATTATGTGCCTGTAAGTTAAGTTCATTGTGCTGGAAGGTATATGCTTTGTAAGGTCCCCAGTAGCGATACATTTGTTAGACTCAGATGTAATAACTGAGCTTGCATCTCCTTTAAGAGCTTGGCCTTCATGGGACCTTGATTTAACTGTTCCTTCTTCTTGGTTTCAGGCTATATTTCTGATCTGTAGTCTTGGTTGGATATTTGTTCCTATTTACATTAATGCTGGGGTAAGTGTCCACTATCAGTTACTCCATTCTCTATTCTCTATAATATTTTTTCCTATAAATATTGCTTGTGTACTAAAAACATCTGGAGGACAAGTTAAACCTCTTGGTCTGATCCTTGTACTAACTACTCTAAATCCTGAGATGCCTGAAGATGTATATCTGAGATGTAATCCTGAGATGTATATCTGCCTTGGGTAAGCAGACACCAGTAACTGCTGTTTCACTCTGGACCTTACTCAAGAGTTCACCTCTTAAGGCTTTTATAAAAAAACATTTTAAAGTTTTATTTAAAAATAAGACCTAAATAAAGAGAACAAATATGTTAGTGACTGGAAGACTCAATGTACTAACAATGTTAGTTCTTCCCAAATTGGTCTGTGCATGAAATTTAATTTCAAACAGGGTTTTCTGAGGAACTCGACAAGCTGATTCTAAAATACATGTTGAAGAGCAAAAGAATAAGAATAGCAAAAATATTCCTATCAAAGAAAAAGAAGGACTTTCCCTACCAAATATCAATACTTATTATGAAGCTGTGATAATTAATACAGTATGCAGGGATAAACACACTGACAAATGGAAAAGAGAAAAAGCCCAGAAACACTCATATATATGGACACTTGACTTATGACATTGATGGCATTGCAAATCACTGAGGAAAGGTGGACCAATGGATTATCATATAAAAAATAGAATTGGATTTCTACTCTACATAAAAATAACTTCAGGGTGATTAAAGAATTAAATGAGAGGAAAATTTTTTAAACTTTTGTAAGAAAGTATAGAATATCTTTATATCCTTGAGTTAGAGAAAGATTTTTAAATAAGATTTTCAAAATCCCTAAACCTTAGCTGACCACTAATGTACACATGCGTGCGTGAAACCCCAGGGATTCCAACCAGTATAAGGCAGAAACTTGAGGGAGAGCTCTCTTGGAAAGACAACTGTACCTGGTGAGATTGGTGAGTTTACTGTGCCTTTGACTGAGTATATTCCTTAGCTCACACAGTGTAGGCAGTGAAAAGCAGAAGTTTTACCAGTTTGAGGTGTCAAAGGACAGAACTGAGGACTGACAAAGCAGCTGGAAATTTAAATGGGGAGCTCCAGAAATAAGGGAACCAAGGAGAGGGTTAACCCCCAAATCTGAGTATAAGTTTTGCCCAATCCTTGGTTGACTACCAAACCTCACAGATGTGGGGGAAACCCATGGAGGACCAGACTAAATTAGCAGCAGCTGGAAGCTGAAAGAATGATCAGAAACAACATCTGCTACACATTGCAGGGTGGATATTGGGGGTGGCATGAAAGATTTTGTAGTGTGAGTCCAGGCAAGTTGTTGCCTACTAAAACAAGAAATAGCAATCCCCAGAAGAACAAAACAGATTCTAGGGTCCTACATTGTATTATTTACAATGGCCAGTTTCCCACCATGAATTATTAGACATAAAAAGAAATGGGAAAATAAATGTGATCCACAGTCTGGGAGGAAGAAAAGCAATAAATAGAAACTGAGTGGACACAGATGTTGACGGAATGGACAAAGACTTCAAAGCTGCTATTATAAATATGTTCCAAAAAGTAAAAGAAAATGTGATATTAATAAATGAACAAACAGGACCTCTCAACAGAGAAATTGAAACTAAAGAAAAGAAGCAAATGGAAATTTTAGAGTTGAAAAGCACAGTAACTGAAATAAAAAATGCACAAGAGGGGCTCAATAGCAGATTTAAGATGGCCAAAGAGGAAATTGGTGAATTTTAAGGTAATAACAATTACCTAAGATAAAGAATAGAGGAAACAATATTGAAGAAGAAAGAGTAAAACTTCAGAGATCTGTGATGCAGTGTCAAGCAGTCCAACATACATGTAATTGGAGTCCCAGAACGAGAAGAGAGAAAAGGAAGCAGAAAAAATTTTTTAAAGCAATAATGACTGAGAATTTGGTGGAAAATGTTAACTTACAGATCCAAGAAAGTTAACAAATACCAAGTAGAATAAACACAAAGAAAACCACACCTACGTACATCATAGTGAAACTGCTGAAAGCAAAAGAAAGAGAAAATCTTGAAAGCCCTAAAAGAAATATAGCACATTACATGCAAGGGAACAATGATACACTCAGTGGTTGAGTTCTCATCAGAAACAGTTGAGGCCACAAAACATTTGAATGACATATTCAAAATGCTAAAAGAAAGAAAAACTGTCAACAAAGAATTCTATATTCTGTAAAAGTATTCAAAAATCAAGGTGACTTGGTAGGTAATGATTCCTTAGATAGGACACAAAAAGCACAGACTGTAAAGAAAGAAATTCATACGTTAGACTTCATTGAAATTCAGACTTTCACTCTTTGAAAGATATTGTTAAGAAAATGAAAATCCAGGGCCGGCCCGGTGGCGCACTGCTATAGTGCGCCTCTTGGGAAGCGCGGTGGCGCTCCCGCCGAGGGTTCAGATCCCACATACAGACCGGCCGCTCACTGGCTGAGCAAGGGGCGGGGGCAACACTGAGGGTTGCGATCCCGTGGCCGGTCCCGGTCCGGTATGGGCGCGACACTGAGGGTTGCGATCCATTGCCGGTCACGAAAAAAGACAAAAAGGAAAAAAAAAAAAAAAGAAAATGAAAATCCAAGCTAGAGCCTGGGAAGAAATATTTGTCAAACTTATTTACAATAAAACACTTATATCCAGAATATATTTATAAAAATTTTTAAAAACTCATAACTCAGTAAGGTTTTTGTGTTGTTGATAATTCTTCCTATATGATGTCACAAGAAAAAGGGTTGAACAGATATTTCACCAAAGAAAACACAAATGGCATATAATCACATGAAAAGGTGCTATCATTAATCATTAGAAAAATGCTACTTAGAATAAGATGCCACTACGAACTCCGTTTTGTATTTTTTTTATGAGTTGGTCAGTTGGATGTGGCCACATGAGGAGACATGGGAGAGGCTCAGGAAAAGTAAAGTTTGTTATACTCAGAGGTCCTAGAGACAGGAGGCAAGGCACACAATGCAGGGCCATATGGGTGAGACACCAGGGTGTTCAAGAGGCAGAAGACAGAAATGAGGGGAAAGTTTAGGCCACTGCCTTTATTGAAGTTTCCTAAGGAAAGGCAGAATAAACAGTTTAGGATTGGCAAGTTTGAATAATTTCATCAGGCTTTAGACTGTAGGGTGGTCTCTAGTTGCCTGGTACCTAGCCCTGAGATGATCAAGGCAGAAGAATATTGCCTTCTGGGGTGTACGGGCTGGATAGAGGAGGCTTGGTTCTGGATTTCGTTAGTTTGCATATCAAAGGCATGTTCCTGGCCCACTGTTATCTTTAAGAATTAGCTAGTCTATGGAAGGTCAGTCTCTCCCAGCCAGAAAGGTCTTTTAAGATGTCAAAACAGGCTTCCAGTCAAGATGGTGGAATACATGGTCCACAGCATCACTCTCTCCCACAAATCAACCAATTTACAACTATTAAAAAGCAATGACAGCCAAGCTAGGGCCACTAGAGTTCAGGGAAAGAAGAGGAGAGACCTACGAAATTCATGAAGGCAGGAGAAGCCACAATGAGAGAAAGAAAGGATCACTCCCACCATTTTGAGCCTCAGCCACTTCAAGGCTGGCCCTGGTGAGCACGTGGAGCAAGAACTAGCAAAAGCCGCAGCTGTGCCCTTCATATGAAGTTGCTTGGAGGTGGCAGGGGAGAAGAGGGCCTTAGTAGCCCCTAGGCCAGCAAGACCACTGACAGGGCTCCCATGGACCACATAGGAGCGAGGAGCCACAACAACTGAGAAAAGGAGCCACTCAGAGGCTGGTGAGTCATCCCAAGGGACCGGCACACAGCCTGCCCCCTTCGGAAGTGTTTGGAATGCAGGCAGTGGGGGAGACGGGCCCACTGAGGGAACATTGGGGCACAGCATGGACAGCTGATCTTCAGGGCAGAACCACTCAGTGAAGACTGATCAGGGATACAGATCTGCAAGGGGTGCAGTTTGCTGAAAAGTCTCAGGTCAAGACCAGAGTTTCTGCACAAACCAGGTGTACCAGACCTCACAAGACCCAGAAATACATACAAAGTCAACAATTAAAACCTGAGCTGTGCAAAAAGCCTTCTCCAAGGAATCAGCAGCAAAGCAACAATTTAGCTCAACTACAGACCTCAAGTGCTAGTCCCCACAGGAAGTTCCTCCATTTTAGAAGTAAGCAAATGACAACGAATTAGTTCCAGTGCAGAGTTTAAGTAGTGGGAACAGCAATTAATACAACACAGAACTGAAAGAAAAAACAAAATACCCGTAGATCAGAGGCAAAGTTTGATATTAGCTAGTAAATGTCTCACATCACCAAAGAAAATCTATAAAACCTAGAAGTACCCCTGGGCTCCCAAGCCAGGAAGCAGGGAGGGCTGGGAGCCTCAGCCATGCCCCCTGACATCTGCATCCAGCCCAGCAATGACCAGCCATGGCTGAAAGCCCCCTTGACTCCCCTGCAGGAATGAGAGGGGTGCCACAGACTTCAACCACAACCCACCTCCTTCCTCCTCCCACCCTGTTTCCTTCCCTCTTCTCCTCTCCCCCTCCCCCTCAACTGCTCCACAACATCTTAGAATGTAAAAAAATATATTAATAAATAAACTTTAAAAAAAGATGTCAAAATGTCAGAAATTTAGAAATTTTTAAAATATTTAAAATGCACACTTACTAGAATGGCTAAGTTTAAAAAAACTGACACTACTAAAAGTTGGAAAGACTGGAGCAACCGGGACTCTCATAATATTTCTCCAGGGAATGCAAAATGATTTGGCCAGCCATGTTGGAAAACAATTTGGCAGTTTCTTAAATTAAACCTTACAACGCAGCCATTCTACTCATAGCTATTTGCCTTAGAGAAATGAAAATATATGTTGTTTTGCTGAAAGTTTTTACTTTCATTTAGGTTCAGAGGATTCATTGGTAAAAGAAACCACTCGTCACACTAATAAGCCAGTTTGTGATATTTATTAAGACACAGCAATAAGCAAGTAAGCAAAGAAAGCAAGATTATGCAGGCATATTAAAAAGAAGAAGAAAAAATAATTAAACCATGTTTATATCACCGAATTGGGGAAACACCTACATCTAGACCCAAGCAGTGCTTGGAAGTCCTGTGAACAGGGATCTGGAGTCCCAATTGGGATTGTCCCAGGCAGTGCATCCACTCCATGTGTGAGACTTCAAAGAGTGGTTTGGGGAAATCCTGCTTATATCACCTGGCTGCAGACTGATAACATTGGTCTGTGTGCAGACATGCAGCCGTGGTTATTTTATTAACACTTGGATCTTTTCTCACAAGTCTTCGGGATGTTCTTCAACCCTGGGAACTGGCCAGGTTCCCAAAGTCCAAGAAGCTCCAGGACTTACTTTCCTTCTTATCTGACAGTTACCAAGAACCTTGCCTGCACATAGTTTCTGAGAGTCTGGCACATAGCCTGTGCAGGGTCATTCTTCGGTCAGAGGCCTAGCAATGCCTCTGAAGCCTGAACAAGACTATAAGATTTAATTTTCCCAACATATGTCCACACACAGATTTGTACATGAAGATTCATGGAAATTTTATTCATAATAGCCACACCTGGAAATAATCTAAATTGCAGTAGGAGATGGATGAATTCCATAAGATGTGGTTATACTACTCACCACAAAAGAGGAATATGCAACAACATGGATGAATCTCAAAAACATGCCAAGTGCAAGAAGCTAGACATAAAAAAGTCTGTACTGTATGATTCCGTTTATTTGAGATTCTAGAGAAGGCAAATCTGTGGTGACAGCTGATACTGGTTGTCTGAGACCAGGTGGTGAGTGAAGGTCTTGACTGCAAGCCCTAGGGGGTTTTGTGGGGGTGTTGGAAATGCTTTATATTATTAGTATAGTGGTGATTACACAACTGCATACATTCACTCAAACTCATCAAACTGTACTCTTAAAATGGGAGAATTTTACTGTGTGCAAAATTATGCCTCAATTGAAGCTGTTGATTTTTTTTTTTTTAATGTGGAGAGGGCATCAAAAATTTGAAAAGCTCGTTTACCATGAAGTATAACACTTGCAATTGTGAAGCCATAAGCCCAGAAAAACTACCTCGAAATGTGACTGTATTTTGAGAAAAAGTCTTTAAAGAAGTAATTAAGTTAAAATGAGGCCATTAGAGTGGGCCCTAATCCAGTATGACCTTATAAGAAGAGGAAATTTGGGCACAGACAAGCACAGAAGGAAGATGAGTTGAAGACACAGGGAGAAGACAAGCCATCAACAAGCCCAGGAGAGAGGCTTGGAACAGATCCTTCCCTCAGGGCACTCAAAAGGAACCACCCCTGCTGACACCTTGAACTTCTAGCCTCCAGAACTGTTAAAGAATACATTTCTATTTAAACCACTCAGTCTGTCCTTCTTTGTTATGGAGTCCTAATACAAGTAGTGAGCATAAAACAGCTTAGAACCTTACTGAAAAAGAGAAAACGTGCTGTATATGGCAGTATATGATTTAGAGCCAAATGAAAGGTGAAAATAATAAAATCTATAGTGTTTAGAAGAGGGCATATGTTCCCTGTGACCCAGGTAAGTTTTCAAAAAAGCAGGTGGAATTTGAGTTAGAACTTAAAATAGTAGACACCTGTGAGATTGGTGTATGAGAGAACAAGAAGATAGGACAGAAGGTGAGATGATATTCATTTAACAATTATTTATTCACATACCACAAGCCAGGTACTGTGCTAGCATCCAGGAGTATAGTGAACAAAGAAGGCCTGTCCTTCCCTCATGGTGTGCACAGCCTATGATAATGAAGAAATGGAACAGGCTCTTTTGGGGCCCCAGCACACACACCGGTAGTGTTGGCACGGGGACAGGTTGGAGAGCTGCGGAATCAAGTTTTGTCTCCCTTGAGCACTAGCTATCTTTGTAGTGTGTGGTAAAGCATTTGATTTTGCTCTATGATTATGCTATAAAAGTGACCTCACCGTTAAATATTTTCAATTAGCTGGATTTCCTTCTGCATTCCGAAGATTGCACAGGAAGCTGGAGTCCGTGTTCCTTGAAGACGCAGTAGTGCCTCTCCTTTTTTATTTCTCCCATTATGCTATAAAAGTGACCTCACCGTTAAATATTTTCAATTAGCTGGATTTCCTTCTGCATTCTGAAGATTGCACAGGAAGCTGGATTCCGTGTTCCTTGAAAACGCAGTAGTGCCTCTCCTTTTTTATTTCTCCCACCTTAACAGATGCCAGAGGCAATAACCCCACATCTTGTATTCCTGGGCCATTGGCCATGTCTCTGTGACAACCGGCACTTTGTGGGCAAGGCTCATCCCCATGGGTCTGCCTCTTCTGCACTCAATGTCTGATGGTAACTTGTCTTGTTGCTTGTACAGGTTGTGACAGTGCCAGAATATTTGAGGAAGAGGTTTGGTAGCTACCGGGTCGAGCTTCTCTTCTCTGTTTTGTATTTATTCCTGTATATCTTCAGTAGGATGTTGGTGAGTTACATAAAAGCCAGCACAAGAAAGAGAACCCCTTTCCCAAAAATATCAACAGGCAGGATTTAGGATTATGCTAGATTTATCACTACACTTTACTGTGGAGCTCCATAAGTACTGTTGGCCTCTGCTGTTTAAGCTAGAGTAGAGAAAAAATAGCTTAATAATATTTTGCAAAAAAACAAAAGGCATCTTCTTTACCTCCCAAGCCTAGGTTACATGTCCCTCCTCTGTATTCTCAGAGAATCTTGGGCTTACCTATCTCATATCGTTAGATAATGTGCTTAAAACAATCCGGGAGTTTCCACCACCCTTACAAGAAAATTGAAGCTCCTTGTTATGATTTTGAAGGACTGTCCTGCTCGACCCTGCCTACCTCTCTGGCCTTATCTCCTTATTTCTTCCCCTTTACTCACTGTACTCCAGCCACACTGCCTGCCTTATTGATTCTCAAACACAGCAAGCTTATTCCCACTTCAAGCCCTTACACTTGCTCTATACTGTACCTGGAACGTTCTTCCCCCAGATTTTTGCATGGCTGACTCGGCATCATTCCTTGGAAGAGAAATATCATCTTCTTGGAGAAGCCTTCCAAGGATGTGCCTAGTCAGTCTCTACTCCATTACTGTTTTTATTTTCTTTGTAATTCTTACCACCATGTAAGAGTAATTTATTTGCTTATTTGCTTATTATCTTTCTTTCCACTTCAGTGCAAGGTCCTTGAGAGCAAGGTCCTTGCCCAGCTTGTTCACTGTGTCACCTTCTGTGCTGAGAACATGTTTAGCACACAAGGCACTCAGTAAATGTTTTTTGAATAATCAAATGAGTGGCATTTCTCATACTTCTTGGAAGATGCCTATTTAATGGTCTGTCTCCATGAAACATAAGCTCCTTGAGTAATAGTAACTGAGTTTTGTTAACCCTTGTGTCTTTTGAGCCCTGCTGAGTGTCTACAACATGGTTGGCATTCAATAAACATTTTTAGAATAAATGGCTAGATGAATCTCTGTCTCTTGTGTCTCTGGCTTTGAAGACCAGAATAACAAAGCAAGAGGTTAGCTAGTTAAATCATGTGCAGATGTTTCAAAATCAGTATCAACTAAGCCAGGGGTTGGCAAATCCGGTCTGTAGGCCAATCTGGCTAATGATCTGCTTTGTACAGCAATTGAGCTAACAGAGATGGTAATGTGACCTGCAAAGCCTACAGTATTTTCCATCTGGCCCTTTACAGAAAATGTTTGCTGAGCCCTGAGAAGCTGTCCCCATTGCCTTTCCCCTGTGGCAGAACTGCAGGAACAACTAACTTCCTGATCACACTCCCCCCTCTGAGGCTCCAGAGTGAAAGAGGCTAAGTTGTGATAATTGGGGGAATTGGGTTAACTGAAGCCCTAAAGGTACTGACCTTGGCTGAACTCATGGGGCACAAGCTTTGTGCCCAACACAACTTGAGTAGACTTCACCTGGCATCCACTGGTGGTAGAGTAGACATGCTAGCTGGGGGCCACTTCTTGTTTCCAAGGTCGGTTTCTTTCTGAGATCATTGTTGATTCAGTTGGAAATAAAAGTGCAGCCTGCTGACTTTTTACTCACTTCAGTTGGAGATCTGCTATGGTGTCATGTTCCTGAGGATAGTTTGGAGGATGGATGTTTACCAGGCCAGCCTGATCTTATTGACAGTTGCTGGCATTTATACCATCACAGGTGAGCTTGCTGTAACCACACAAGTGTTTACACTGACACAGCACTCTACTTAATGGAGTCTTAGTAGACATTGAAGCAGTGGTCTCCAGCTTTTGTATTTTCCTTAAGTCTGTAGATCACATTGTTGAGGCCTGAGGGGACCAGACAGTGAAAATAACAAAGGCAGGGGTACCTAAGTGATATCCTACCACTAGAAATCAGATTGGGCTGGCAAGGTCTCTCCCAGGCATCTGAAAGGATGTTTTAGTCCGTTTCTGTTGCTTATAACAAATACCTGGAACTGGGTAATTTATAAAGAAGATAAAATTTATTGTTTGCAGTTCAGAGGCTCGGAAGTCCAAAGTTCAGGGAATATATCTGGTGAGGGTCTTCTTTAGTGGTGCCTTTACAGAAATTCAGGGGTGTCACATGGCAGAAAATGGCACAGCAGAGAGAGAAAAATAGCCCCTCATGCCCTCTCCTTTTAAAGCCCTCAGTACCACAACCACTACCATCATTAAACTGTTGTGGGGTGAATGCACAGAGGAATCCAAGACCGGGGTCAGTGTTGTAGTTTTATAGCTCTTTATTTGAGTGTTGCAGCTCTTTGTTCAGTGTTACAGCTCCTCTTTTTGCTTGCAAGCAAAGAGAGCACTGGGGAGCAAGAACTCCTAAACCAGTGTCTCCCAGAACAAAGGAAAAGACCCCCTTATATAGCGTAAATTTCCGCCCTTTTCCCTCCCAGGTTCCCATTCAGGTCCTCTTATGTAAATGAGGGATGCTGTCCTGCTAATTTGGATTGGCTGATTGTGGGACACAGTCCGTTGGTCACTTTAGGAGCCTAGTTTACCTCTGGCCCCTAGGGGGTGTGAGACTGCCGTTATCTCATAGAGGGCAGACCCAGAAAGCAAGCAGGGTAAATGGCAGGGGCCAGAGTCTGCAATGGAGCACAGAGTTTCTAAAACAGTTTCTCAAGTGGAAAAGGGAAAGCTTAACAATTAGAAAATGCTTAGGGTTCCCTGCAACAAAATCATCAACTTAATCACCTTTTCAAGGTCCTGCCTTTCAATTATCATATAGGATTTCCCACCCTCAGCAGTTACAGCAGGGATTAAGCTTCAGTGAGTTTGGGAGAGACATTCAATCCACTGCATAGAGACAGCAGTGGTCATGTTTGGGGTGAGGCAGGACCTGATACCACAATCACCAGATAACAGAGTGGGAGCTCAGGAAGGGAAAGCAGCAGCCTTAGGACACCTGGTCAGGCCTTTAGATGGGATCTTTTATGTAGGTAGTTTTGTCCTAGGTAGCCTCTGCCTAGGCTTTGAGAATAGGAGCTGTCCCTACTCATTTTTTCCANTCTCAAGTGGAAAAGGGAAAGCTTAACAATTAGAAAATGCTTAGGGTTCCCTGCAACAAAATCATCAACTTAATCACCTTTTCAAGGTCCTGCCTTTCAATTATCATATAGGATTTCCCACCCTCAGCAGTTACAGCAGGGATTAAGCTTCAGTGAGTTTGGGAGAGACATTCAATCCACTGCATAGAGACAGCAGTGGTCATGTTTGGGGTGAGGCAGGACCTGATACCACAATCACCAGATAACAGAGTGGGAGCACAGGAAGGGAAAGCAGCAGCCTTAGGACACCTGGTCAGGCCTTTAGATGGGATCTTTTATGTAGGTAGTTTTGTCCTAGGTAGCCTCTGCCTAGGCTTTGAGAATAGGAGCTGTCCCTACTCATTTTTTCCAGCCACAGTGCAAACCTCGGATGCTGGTACATGTCCCTGGCAGTTCACCAGAGTCCAGGTGGAGAGCATCACAGTAGGGAATGGAATGCACTTAATCAGTGGCTCACAGTGTCAGGGAGTGGGAATTGGATTTTGCTTCCTGGGGGACATTTGGTAATGTTTGGAGACATTTTTGGTTGTCACAACTGGGGCGGGGGGTACTAGTGACATCTAGCAGGTAGAAGCCAGAGGAACTGCTAATTGTTGCTCCCAAAGTGAGCTTTTGTGATTAAAGGTGAACATTCTGGAAAACTATCAGACTTTCATTCATCAAAAAAAATAGGAAGTATCGGGAAATTGGGACATAGAAGGGCAAGATAAGAATGCAACACAAGATCACAGAGGACATTAAAGAGAAAAAACAGAATGTACCCAAACTAAGCATAAGTAGTTGTAAGACCCACTGATTAAAGGGACCAAAAGTCTGTATGTGGACATCTGAGAGGAAAAATATAGAGAGAGTAGGAGATGCAGAAGTAACTTTCAGCAAAGAGTCAAATGTGGCTTTCATTTCTCATTCTCCTTGTCTATTCAGGTGGCTTGGCAGCTGTGGTTTATACTGATATCTTACATGCTGGCTTTATACTTTTGGGATCAATCTTGTTAATGGGTTATGGTAAGTAAAACTTAAGAAGACTGGGAACCGTGAGTGGAATCTTCAAATCTAGAGCTGTCTAGGGCCATCAGCACCTTCACCTCACAGATGAGACTAAGGCCCTCAGAACCCAAGAACATTGTTGGAGGTCATGCCAGCCTCAGGTGGGAAGCAAACTTCTGCTCACTGCAAAAGAAAGAGCAATCAAGGAATAGGATGGGGATGACAGACTCTAATGTTTTGGTTTACTACACTCATTCCCACCTCTGGGCCTTTATCCCTTCTCTTCCTCTCCAGTTAGAAGCTTCTTTTCTTGTTGTCCACTCAGTTAAATCCATCTGCCAAGGTCAATGGATGATCCACCCC